GACTTGAGAGTTAAAACACGTTTAATATTTGTTCATGTTATCACTGAATGCTAGTGAACTTAATGAATGTTCATTTTTCAAAACTTGAGGTTGTTATTTGGAATGTTTTAAAAGGTTGTGACCAATTTAAAATCAACCATAAAGAGGTTAGATAGTTAGTATAGTTTTATACAATAATCCAATAAATCTTGACAATAGTTAAATCTTCCATAACTTGTATCGATACTACTATATAGTATGTACTATTATAGCAAACCTTGTTATTTGATTGATTTTAAATTAATATCTATAGAGATCCTCCATATAGATTTTTCTTCTTAAAAAAATGTATAATAAAATAAATCACATCACACATGTGACACGTGCAACGTTTTATGATCATTAAGGAGACCAAGATCATGACAGGTGCCACCGTACAACACTCCAGCGACGGCGAAGCACTGCTACGGCAGCCGATTGACGGTCCGCATGAACGAAGATAGGCCCCCGTGTGGTGGTTGGTGCGGGGTCCGTTCGGAGATACGTCGGTGCACGGGCCTTGCATTATTGCCTGAGGTTATAGATCAACTTCGCCCCGTTTTCACACCGTCACCCGCCAAAATTACTTAATGGGTGGCGTGCTTTCATTGGCTGGGGACCCTGCGTGATCCTCCTTCCGTTAACGTCGGTGGAAACGTTTCCCGTGATCGTTCGTTCTCGTATGGGAAGATTCTCTCTATGCTTGTTTCCCGCACGCGCCATCAGTGTCTTGTAGCCTGACGTGTCCTTGTATGACTGGGTGAAAATCTGAGAGGACGAATATTTTCGGCTAGTGAGGATTCTTTTTGTGAGGATCCAGATGATCATTTAATCGTGTTCGTTCATCGTAAATTATGGAATCAATTTTCGTTGGATATTATTTGTGTTTTAAATAAAAAATTTAAAATGATTTATGACCTCACAAAAAAACTCCGAAGAGGATTCTCATTCATTATTGGCTATTTCAGCCGGCTATGTCGCGCATACCTAAGGCGCATCTTACCGAGTAATAAAGATCTAACGAAACAATGTATTTTACCCAAGAAGACCCTCTTCGGATCCTTTTGGTGAGGATCTGGGGATCCATAAATCGTGTTCGTTTATCGTACATTGTACGATCAGTTTTTGTCAAATACTATTTATATTTATTTTTAAATAACAATATTTAAAATAATTTCTAACCGTATGATATACGATGAACGAATACAATTTACAGATCTTCCAGATCCTCACAAAGAGGATCCTGACTCGTATTTTACCGTTAAACAACAAATGCATCAAAGCAATATGGGATCTATTTTGGATGCATTGCCTTGCTGCCACGTGGTTGGCTTAGCCCTCTCTCCTTTTGGCAAAACCTCAAACCTACGAGGGGGATGTTAGGTAAACCACATTTTATAATTTGAATTATCTTTTTTATAGAGGTAGAGGTAGGGTTCATAATATAAGTAGGTCACACCTCTATTAGAAAGATAAATTACATATAATCTACAAACTATGTTCTTTGTAGCATTTTCTTTCTACTATTTAAACCATAAGGTTGATTATTAGTCTAGAAGGATTGGTCGTTTACATACAAGTGAGCTATTTATAGTTGATCTTACTTTGTGAGTCCTGCAAACATGAATGATGGAAATTAGTCCAGACACACGTGCCACAAGCAGTGGCGAAGCCAGGATTTACCGAGGGAAAGGGCGAAATTCAAAAGAGTGCAAAGTCCAATCAAAATGGTTACTTTCACAGTAGAGAGGGGCAAAATTCCTCGTAACTTGTTATTCAAGCTCAACCAAATTGATGTACACAACTAGAGTTTTAGCCTAATTTTTCTAAGTTATTATTGAATTTATTTGAACTTGGTCAAAGTCGATAGGATTTCCAAACTAAAATTGAGTATAATGAGTTCTTGAGATCACCTCTCTTCTATTTTTAATGAGTGAATAAAGGCTCCAATTTTCCAATATATTTTTTCACCTCCGTTTCTTTGATTGAGAAAAAGAAAAGATTAGAAACCACAAAGGGGCAATTTAATCAAAAAACCCAGAAAAATCAAATGGTCCACAATATCCCCAGATGGCTGGCTCTCTGCAAGTCTTACTATTTCTTCCCAAACCCATCAAATCAATTTAACTCAATTTTGTGCTTCTCCATCGAAGTGTGCTGAACAAAACCCAGTTCGCCAAATCTTTGATCTCCCTCTACCAATTGATCAAGACACCATTTTTCCACAATCCACACCCATAAATTGAGCTAATTAGAACAACACAGTTCCCAGATCTTCCCCCTTTTTTTTTTCTACTACCAATATACTGCAATCATTCTACTGAACAGAACCCAATTTGTCAAATCTTTGATCTCAGCCCACCAATTGATCAAGCCACCATTTTTTCCACAACCAACTTCACAATTCTTCAACTTTTTCCTTTTTCCTGAACTAATTTTCTTGACAATGAAGCTTCAATGGAATCCAATACCAATACTTTTACACCTTTTTCTTCTTCAAACTACCCTTTCCACAGCTTTCTCTCCAAGCCCCATGAACTGTACGGACATAACTCACCCATGCACCTCCTTTTTGGCCTTTAAGCCTAAACCCAATGAGACTCTGCCAGTGATTCAGAGCTTACTTCCAAAAATCAACCACAGCGTTTCATGAGTCAAAAGCAAAGGGGCTGAACTAGTGCTCCAGGCTTGTTTGTCCGGTGAGGGGAGTGGGGGCCGCCACTCCTCGCCCTCACATGGCTTCGCCACTGACCACAAGTTCTACTATTTCCCAAATCACATAAACAAGATCGATCTAGTTAGTAAGCTAATCAAGAAAACATAGTTGCTCCAAAACCTCAAACACACTAAATCTTGTAATTCACATCTATGACTTAACGCATTATACTTCTAGTATGACACAAATACATCACAAAACACACCATAAAGTTAACCTCTTGTTTTACCACTCGTTAAAGCAAAAAAGGAAAAGGAACCCAAAAGGCATAACTAGGAAAAGCCATTCAAGACACACAATCTAACACAAAAAGGAAAAAGGGTAATTAAGTCATTAAAACAATGATTAGTAAGTAGTAATTAAGCACATGAGCTCCAATCACGCTCTTGCAAATTAAGATTGTGGCATCAAACCCAAATACCAATTGCATAATTTGCATGCACGAGTTGTGAAGTGTGGAATTTGATTCATTAGGGTTTCGGATTCCTTCACGCACAAGTTTTACTTTGGATAATCCACTTTTTGAAGCCATCTTTATCTTCGCGACAATCTTCTTCCCACTATTGGGGCCTTAGATGCAGGTCTTCATTATTCTTAAGGTTCTATGCATGCAGAAAATTTTCAGTGTACTCGAAACACGGTGTGGTACATCACATATCATTATATAAGTAAAGGGAAGTTTTACTTTTCAAGTGTTCATCTACTTGTATGATGACATATGATGTACCATCTTATATTCCGAGCACATTGAAAAATCTATCGTATGCATGGCGTAATGGCATTGTAACATCAACAACCACTCCTTGAGTCTAGAAACTAATCATTTATTGTGTTCCACAATTGCTTCAACAAGACTACACTTTGTAAAGTAGATATTGGATACCTCACTTTTCTCATTTCCTTGTCCTGCGGGACATCATCAAACGACTTAATAGAAAGACCGTTCCTTAAAGTATTTGAGTGATTTGTAGCCGTTGATACATGGGGTTAACTTTCATTGGCGTCAACAGTTAAAATCTTTTGAGTTTAGACTTGTAAACTAGATCAACATACGGCCATTTACTCATAATGTTCATGTTTATGCATTTGAGAGCTGTTATCAGTCAGCACTTTGACACAGTCAGCATGCTCTCATTTCTCCTTTGTCGTGTTTTTTCTTTCACTATAAAGAAATGTGTTCTAACAACAATTTTAAAACATTTTTTTGGAAAATATAAAGGAAAGTATTTTTAGAGATTTGATTTGATTTGGTCTAAGTTTCCTTGTCTTGTGGACAAATGTTTGATTGATTGATTTTTTAATATTGCTCTATTGTATTTTTATAAATACCTCCCTATGAAAAAGAATAAATTATTGAAATTGTAATTGAAAATTGTGAGACTGTAGAGAATTCTAAATTTAATAAATAAAAGAAAAAACCCTTTAATTTCAATTATACTTCACTGCTTTTGTCGGTGCCCTGCAGGCTAAGGTTGCATATTGGCATACTGAATTCTGGTGAGTCTAAATGATCATGTCTCTTGTTATCTTATCTTGTGACCAATGCAACATAACTATGTACGGGGGCACATATATTTTTTTGGGTATCAAAACAAGAAGGAGTGATTCCGCACGTTGCTTTTATTTTATTTATGATTATTGAATTGAACAAATCACATGATAATCGAGGGGCATGAAAAAAAATTAAAATTAAAAAATTGCAAAAGGAAAAAAATGAGTGTGAGAAAATCATTTCGCAAACACAATATTGACCACAACAAATCAAGAATTTTAATAAACCAAACTAAATCGATCATGTAGGGTTGGCTATACTTTGGCCAAATCATTACCAACATGGTTAGTTCAGTTTACAGTTTTAGGTCATAAGTTGAAAGAAACCAAATCTTGTCCAGCTTTAATCAATACTATAACGCTACGTAGACAAACAAAAATAGCACGTGGGTTTCATCTATATTAGAATAGATAAGCGATGAGCAACGTGAGTAGTTTGTTGTGTGTTTAAATTTAAGAAGTCCACAATAGTTGTGATAGAAAGTATTTTGGGCCCGAAAATGACCCCACTTTTCCATTCCAAAACAAAACTCAGATAGCCCAATTTTTGTTCGAGTTTGGGTCACACGGGGCAGCTGCTGGCCCAATAACAAATTTTAAGTTTTCAGTGCGGAAGCCAAAACTCCCACCACAGCAACTGAAATTTAAATCTCAACGGTAATACGCTTCGACTCCTAAAATCTCTTTCTGGACTCAGCCCCAACCTACATTGACTATGGCAGCTGCAATTGAGGTCCAGGTATCGCTGCTACCCGAAAACTGATGGCGGCGCCGATAGGGCTTGGAAACGGAGTAGAGAAAGGATGGTTATTTGCAGTTACACAAGAGCAAAGGGCAGCACCTTTTAACCAATCAACGGATTCTCGACAAAATTGTTCAAAAATCCGCAATAAAACCCACCGACACCGTCCTCGAGATTGGACCCGGCACCGGAAATCTCACGCTCAATCTTGTAGAAGCCGCCCAGAGCGTCGTCGTCGTCGAACTCGATAAGCGGATGGTGGAGGTTCTCCAAAAACGTGTTGAGGAGAGTGGGGTTCAAGACCGTTTGGCTGTAAGTTAAATGCCGCACAGGTGTTCGACGAAATGCCTGAATGAATATTTGAGCTTTTGGAATGAATGACATTGGTTAAGGCCTTTGATGATTGGTCTTTTTGTAGGTTATCAATAAAGATGCATTGAAGGCGGAGTTTCCTCCGTTTGATCTTGTTGTGGCGAACATTCCATACGGCATATCTTCGCCTCTGGTAGCTAAATTGGTTTACGGGGCAAGGCTGTTTCGTAGCACCACACTGCTGCTGCAAAGGGAGTTTGCGAGGAGATTGTTGGCTAAGCCAGGCGACTCGGAGTTCAACCGCTTGGCTGTGAATGTGAACCTGGTGGCCGATGTCGAGTTTGTCATGGATGTGAGCAAGAAGGAGTTTGTCCCGTGCCCAGAAGTTGATTCGTCTGTTGTTATAATCCGCCCGAAAGCTGAAGTTCCGAATATTAATCTGGACGAGTGGTGGGCTTTCATAAAAGCTTGTTTCTGTAAGAAGAACAGAACGCTTGGGGCAACCTTCAAACAAAAGAAGAAGGTGATGGAGCTACTGGAGATGTTCAATTTGGCAGGCTTAAATGGTGAAGGCAAAGATTATATTAGTAGCAGCGACAACGATGACGATGAAGGAAAGAGTGATGAAGAGGAGTTTTCTCCGTCTTCTTGCTCGGAAATAGGGGCGAGTTCTTTCAAGGAGAAGTTAATTGGGGTTCTGAAATCAGGTAATTTTGAAGACAAGCGGCCTTCAAAGCTGTCGAATGAGGAGTTATTGCATTTACTGGCAATGTTTAATCAAAAGGGAATTTACTTTCATGATCACTCTTAAGAGTGGGAATGCAGAGAATGAAACATTTACTGTTGCATACACTTGATAGCTATTAGCTTAAACTATTTGGAGGGAAATTCAAACTTTGAGTGCAGAGAAAAGCACACAATTCTAGTCAATTTGGCTACATCTAGACTTGCGATAGCTATTAACCTATTAGATACATGGTCTCACAATCTCACTCATTGGTTGGGATGTCACGTTTTGGGGATTCTTGAATCCAATCAGAGAGCACATCTCGCTATTAGTATCTGTCTCATAATGTGACGAGAGAGATGCCAATGGGGACATATCCCGATTACATATTAGAATCTGTTGACATTTAGAGGCTCTCACACCGAATTATAGGAAAATTAACGTTAATATGACAATAATCTTATGACGCTTTCACAAATAATTGTTTATGGTTTTTGTTTTAGCTAAATTGGTTGAAATGATAATACCTAAATCTCAATGGATGAAGTAATGACTTTTTTATGTTTTGATTGATTTGTAGTCAGAAATTGATTTTGACCGGTTTAGTGCAATTATAATTTGTAAAGTTGATGATTTCAGTCAAAGTTCCTTGCGTCTATTCCTTTTCATCATTTTCATCGTAGCTATACCACAAACCTTGGGAAAACAAATCAATTTATTATGGTATTTTAGCCAAAATGGTCCCTGAGATTTGCATAACACTTCACTTTAGTCCATGAGATTGAAAATCAATAGAAATGGTCCCTACGATTGTCCACCATCCATTATTTTGGTTAGTCCGTTAAAAACTCTATTAAGTGTCGTGGAGCTCTTGGTTGGAAGTTTGGGCAATTTTCAAAGCTTCATAACTCAAGTTTTTTTTAACCAAATTCGACCCATAATATCTCAAAATGAAGATAGGAAAGTGTAGAGCAAGATTATACCTATTTGTAAGCCCAATGGTCGCTGGAGATAGCCGAAAAATAGCCTGAAAGGTGACTAGTCTGCGGGAAAACTGAAAACTCGCCGGAAACTAGGTAAACTTTCTAGAAACTAGGTAAACTTTAAACGTTCATAACTTCTTCAATACTCAACGAAATCGAGTGAATCAAAAACAAAAATCATACTTCTCGATGAGAGGAAAAGAATGGTATCTTTCTCGATGGCTAAATCGTCGTGGTTTGGCCAAAAAAGGGCTTGAAAGTGGCTATCTTGGTCTCAAGTTAGCCACTTTCGAGCCATTTTCCGGCCAAACCACGGTGAATTAGCGATCAAGAAAGGTACCATTCTCTTCGTCTCGTCGAGAAATATGATTTTTGTTTTTGAATCACTTGATTTTGTTGACTATTGAAGAAGTTATGAACGATTAAAATTTACCCTGTTTCTGGTGAGTTTTTATTTTCCCGCGAACCAGTCACCTTTCAAGCTATTTTCTGGCCATCTCCGGCAATCCAAATAGGTATAATCTTGTTCTACACTTTCCTATCTTCATTTTGATATTATGGATTGAATTTGGTTAAGAAACGATTGAGTTACAAAGCTTTGAAAATTGCCCAAACTTCCTGCCAAGAGCTCTGGGACATTTAACCGAATTTTTAACGGAATGACCAAAATAATGGATGATGGACAATCTTAGGGATCAAAGTGATGTATTATGCAAATCTCAGAGACAATTTTAGCTAAAAAGTCATTTATTAATTCCCAAGACACTTGAGTGTTCCTCAAATTGAATGCAAATTTAATCTCATTTAGGGGTGGGTTGGAAAAACCGAAAACCGAAAAAACCAGACCGAAAACCGAACCGAGGCCGAAAAAACCGAACCGAATCTGTTGAACCGAACCAAACCGAATCTGGTTGGTTCGGTTTCAATTTCTGGGGTTTGGAAACTGAACTGAACCGAACCGAACCGAACATCTTCAAAACGACGTCGTTTTATAATATTTTATTAATTAATATCCTAATTCTAAAACGACACCGTTTTATTCCTAAACTAAAACTGCAACCCGAAAGTAAACCAACCCTAGCCCTCCTTCTCTCTCGGTCTCTCTCTTGTTTTTCCCAATCCCCTGCCCTCCCCAGATCGCAGTCGCACTTCGCATTTCGCACGCAGCCTCGCAGCAGCCTCATTCATCTGTCTCTTTCTCTCACAGCAGCAGCCTCTCTTTGTCTCTCTCATTCCCCCTTGCAGCAGCCTCACCTCATATGTCTCTCTCGCAGCAGCATCCTCTCTGTCTGTCTTAGAGATTCGCAGCAGCATCCTCTCAATCACAGCAAAAGGTTAGTTTCACGTTTAATTTTCAGTTCTACTTATACAGTTTTAGAGATTTGATTTGTATTTTAGTGAATATATTGATTGAGTTGTAATAACATATTGGGTATTTTTATGCTTCATAAAGTAATTGAATTGAGTTCCCACAATTGATTGTGCTTCAGATTGGGTATTTTTATGCTTCAGAATGTCACTGGGGCACATAGGTCAGAAATTAAGTGAGCAAACTGTACCGTGTAGGCTTTATGGTTTTTTAACTCATAAAGTTGCAACTGTTGCGGTATCAATTGAGTTCTAAAGTGAGGTAAATGTGAATTAATCCAAGGATTTGAAGGCAACCTATGAACCCAAGAAATTAATTATTAATTACTCACAAGAAAAATAATAAAGAAATTAAGAGAAAAGAAGAACATATTTGTATTGATGAAAATTTGTATTTTTTTTTTGGAGGTGAATTAATTTGATCTAAGACATGTTAACATGCACACTAGCGTTCTTGCTTCTTGGAACCCCTGTAGGCTTTAGCTAAAGCTATAGATATATAACAGACATAGGTCATAAATGAAGTGAGCAAACTGTACCGTGTGGATGAGTAAGAGTTGATATGCAAATTGTACCGTGTGAATGAGTAAGAGTTGATATAACAGACATAGGTCAGATTAATTAGTTAGGAAGGATAGATTATCCGTGTGTTTGCACACGAGTTTAATTTATCTCGCACAAAACGTTGTTTAATGAGAATTATATTGTAAAATATGTTAGACTTCTTGAGAAATATCATTAAACTCTAACACTCAAATGTTATATTTTAGCTAAAGCTAAAGATATATATATATATATATATATATATATATAATGGTTGCAGGTTGTGTATATATAATGGCTGCAAGTTGTGTATGTGTGTGTTTGAAACAATATCCCTAATGAAGGGAGTTTGGCTGCAGGTTATATATATATATATATATAATGGCTGCAGGTTGTGTATGTGTGATTCAGTTTTTATTATATATATATATATATATATATATATATATATATATATAATGGTTGCAGGTTGTGTATATATAATGGCTGCAAGTTGTGTATGTGTGTGTTTGAAACAATATCCCTAATGAAGGGAGTTTGGCTGCAGGTTATATATATATATATATATATATATATATATATATATATATATATATAATGGTTGCAGGTTGTGTATGTGTGATTCAGTTTTTATTATATATATATATATATATATATATATATATATATTGTGAAGGGAGTTTGATTCTTGCCTTCCATATTTTATCGTGATTTTGTATCATTGGCCTTTCATATTTTAATTAACATTTACTTTTGTATAAGTTTGTAGTACTAACTACTATCCTCTTATTATTTTGTTTGAATTAGATGAAGTCAAAGGTGTCAAAGGTCTCAAGGGCCTCAAGCTCAAGTTCAAACTCAATGAGATCAAAATCAACTAGCCCTCATGATCAAACAAACTCATCTTCAAGTATACCATCGGAAGTAAGTACTAAGTAGTCATATCTTTCTATTACCTTAGCCTTTATGTTTAATAATTAATTCATTAATTGTAATGATAAGAGTGAGTAACCAACCATAGCAAAAACCTACCATACCCATCTTATTTGAATAATTAATTGTATGATTCTCTTATTTTAGATGGACATTGTTGGTGAATCAACTCCGCCTCAAAACGCCGTGGTGGCACCTTGACAAACCCCTACTTCTCTTGGTGGATCCGGAAATCCCTCCGATGCAACTCCAAAAGAAGGTGACAAGTGACCAAGTAAGTAAAGAAGAAGCTCTTTTGGAATCATTAAAAAGTTATGAAAGGTCTTCAGTTTGGGAGCACTTTGATAGAAAAATTGAGGGTGGTAGAGTTAAGGGGTTGTGCAAGTATTGTGCACAATCATATATGGTCGATCCGGATAAAAATGGTACAACTAATTTAAGAAACCATTTAGCAAGATGTAGAAGCTACGGTCCTAATAAGGAAATATTTGCCGCAAATAGGCAAAAGATCTTAACCTTTGCCGGCACGAAAGATAAGTTGGAAACTATAGGTTTTTCTCAAGAGGAAGTAACTAAGGCTTGTGTTGAGATGATAATTATAGATGAGTTGCCTTTTACTTTTGTTGAGGGAGAAGGTTTTCGGCGTTTTTGCATACAAGCATGTCCTATGTGGAGAGTGCCTAGTCGTAAGACAATTGCTAAGGATGTACTTAGCTTGTTTTATTCCGAAAGGGATAAATTGAAGAGTCAATTGAAGACAATTAGGGTGTGTCTAATAACGGATACATGGACTTCTATTCAACAAACCAATTACATGGTTCTCACCGCCCATTTTATTGATGATGATTGGATATTACATAAAAAGATTTTGAACTTTTGTGTCATTCCAAATCATAAAGGACAGTCCATTGCTCAACTTTTGGAGGAATGTTTAGTGGAGTGGGGTATAGAAAAGGTGTTAACTATTACAGTTGACAATGCTTCCACAAATGATTCCGATTTAAGGGACTTGGTGCACCGAATAAGGGGGTGAGGGATTCCTAATGCACTCTTGCATGATGGAATATATTTGCATATGAGGTGTGTTGCTCATATCCTCAATTTGGTTGTGAATGATGACATAAAATTGTTGAATACAGCTATACAAAGCATTCGTAATGCGGTTAGGTATGTAAGATCTTCCCATCAAAGGTTGGAAAGCTTTAAAAGGTGTATTGAGAAAGTGAGAATAGATAGCAAAAGGCTTGTAATTTTGGATGTCCCTACTAGATGGAATTCCACATTTTTAATGTTGGAAAATATTTGCATATGAGGTGTGTTGCTCATATCCTCAATTTGGTTGTGAATGATGACATAAAATTGTTGAATACAGCTATACAAAGCATTCGTAATGCGGTTAGGTATGTAAGATCTTCC